AAATAAATAAATAAATAAATAAATAAATAAATAAATATTAATGGCTCAAAAAATGCCCAAACACCCGGTTTAGAGATTATGATGGATGGCGAGGGGGTACCTCAACTCAGCCTACTTGGGGGTAGGGGCTCAAAAAGGCCATAGGGGCTTGGAAGCCGTGGCTTGGGGCCCCTGGCTTATGCCCCCTTATCTAGCTCTCAGCCAGGTCCAGAGCTGTCCCCCGGAGGAGGAGGGGGGCGAGTGGGGGCTCAGGAGGCAGCGTTCAGGCGCGCTTTGCCCCAGGCATTCTCAGCCCGAGCGCAGGGCTGCTGCTGCCTGCCCTAGGGCAGTGAATGCAGCCCATCCCCAGGCCAAAGCCAAGTCGCCAGCCCGCTAGCTGCCTCCACTGGCCAGGGGCTCCGAGAGGGGGGAGGCCGCGGCGGTGGTGGAGGAGGGGGATGATCAGGTGGCAGCGGCAGCCGGGCTCCAGTCCTCCTGGGCAGGAGCAGCGGGGCGGCTGGGCCCTGGCTCCTCTGCGCTCCAGTCGGCTCTGCCTGCCAGCCTCCCTCGCGCTCCTGTCTTCTTTGTAGACGCTGGCTCTCCTCCTCTGCACTGCAGAGACACATCATAAAGCCAGGCTTGGCTGGAAACCCAGCAGGAGGATGTGAGGAGCAAAATCCAGGCGGGGGAGCACTCTTATCCCCTGGGGCACCCCGCACTTCTCCTGCTCAGATCAGATGGAGGGACAGCCAACACCACCGAGCAATGGACATTGCTGAAAATACAGCTCCCGCCGCCCACAAAACCCATACCGCTGTGGAGGCATTTGCAGGCACCACGCATGTGCAGGCATCTCATTGGCTAGCGTGGTGGGCTCTGGCTTCATGGGGGCGGGAAGAGGGAAAAGAAGGTCCATGCTGGCTGTCAAGCTCACCCAGATGCATTAGCATTACAAACTGCAAAAATTGAAAGAATGGGGGAGCAAACAGGTTAGCTACCCTAGTGTTGCTTCTTGTGCCCCACACACTAGAATTATCCTCAGACCCTCAAATGACTTTTGACGATGGTTTGGTGTTCCAAGACCACTCTGACCCCACATCCAACAAATGCTTACACCACTGAGCTAGCCTATACCCTCATTTGTAGGATTCTTGAGCCTGGTGCACACTTCCAAGCTGTGACTCTAACACCTTATCTCCAGAAAACTGCAGGAGCACCCCTTCCCTCCGAGGTTGGCAAAAATAAACAAGTTGCTACTTTCCACAAAGTTTTGCCAGGGGGTGCCTCAAGTCCCTGTAGTTCTTGAACTAGATGAGTCTCAGATCTCCTAGCTGGTCCTGGGGTCCTGGAAGGGCACATGCTTAAGGAAAATCTTCCCTGGGCGGCTCCCATAAACCTTTACTTTGAAGGGTCCCTCTCTGCCACCAGCTGCAGGTGTGCGTAGAGGAGAGGCCCCCACATCTCCCCCTCCCAGGCAAGTGACGCCACCTTGGGCCAGGACGCCTTGAGCCCGGAAAGCTGAGCAGGTGCACAGCATGGCCTTGGGGGTTATCAATCTCGCAGATTGATAAATTACCACTTGGAGAGTGGAGAGCTGTGTCCTCTCAGAGACAAGTTAAACAGGGCAACCCTTCATGAAAAAACCCGCTCCCCTCTGAGAGCAGCCCTGGGCCAGCCCAGCAGCGACGCCCGCCCCAAGCAGGCTGCCAGCACCCCCGTGGTTCCCCGCCTGCCCGCCAGCCTGGCCCAAGCTAGCTTAGCAGTCCCGCAGGGCCTGGCTAGACAACCCCGTGCTGGGCTGATTGCCGAGGTAGATGCCACCCCCGCACCCCTGCTACTAGGGAGAGCAGGCCAACAGATGCGGAGAAAGGCCTTAGACAGGGGGGCCGTGGGCGTGCGCCCAAGGCCATCTCTGAAGTTCAGTCGGGTGACTGGAGAAATGCAATGCCCAGGCAAACATGCCTATAACAGAGACCGAGCGTGAGGATACCCAGACAGGCTAAGGCCAGGTCATCCACTAAGTAAGACCTAGGCCCTGAGGTCCTCCCTTTCTCCGGAATGGGGTTGCCACCCTCAGCCACCTCCGTCCCCAGTTAGTGAGTCCAAGAATGTCCAACATCCCCAAGGAGCCA